CAGCAGCCACATTGACCCCAAGCTTAATTATTGTGTCATATGTTCTCGGCAGCTACTGCTGCTTCCAATTAACTCGCCTTAATTAAAGCCTCTGGTTTTCAACGTTCTGAGCATAGGAGAATAGATTTGCTGGGAGGGAGCTTTACACTGAGAAGGAATAGTTTAGAGTGGCGTGTGCATTGGCTGTGCTGGGAAAGGAGGGTGGCATTCCCACTGGCTGTGCTGGGAAAGGAGGGTGGCGTTCGCATTGGCTGTGCTGGGACAGGAGGGTGGCGTTCGCATTGGCTGTGCTGGGAAAGGAGAGTGGCGTTCGCATTGGCTGTGCTGGGAAAGGAGGGTGGCGTTCACACTGGCTGTGCTGGGAAAGGAGGGTGGCGTTCGCATTGGCTGTGCTGGGAAAGGAGGGTGGCGTGCAGTTTGCAGTGTCATTCCCACACCCCAGCGGAGGTGAGATGTCACTTGCATTAGGTGTCTCAATGATGCGGACTGGAATGGAACCCAGGATCCATTTCTAGCCCAGCCGAAGGGTCTCCTCTTACACTGGTTTTACAATCATGTAAATAAAAATTTACTCCTGATTCACACCGGTATACGGTAGAGGTGGGTGGATCAGGCCCAGGGTTTGGTTTTCAGTTGGGTTCCTGCTTTTCACACACCTTCCTGCTGGGAATACGCACAGGAGTTGCAGAGACTTGCCTGAGATCACACGGTCAATGGCCCAAGCTGGATTGGCATCCCAGCTCTCCCAGAGTCCTTTGCACTAACCACATCCCCAGGAGCTTTGCTAAGGGAGCACAGAACCTGGTTCTTGGGTGGTTTTTGTCTCAACCTATTCAACACACAGCATTAGCGTGAATGCTCTATTCAGGGCTTTGAAATGAAATCGGCCTCTCTTAATCTTGCTGCAGCTTTTGGGGGGCAGCTGAGGCTTGAAAGATAGGAGCAGCATTCTCTGAACCCACACGGCTTGACAGAGTCACGTTCAGTGTTTTGGAAATGTATCTTTTGACTGTTGGGAAGGAAATTGGCTACTTAAGATGCCTTTTTGTACATTTAAATTGACTTAGTCCATCAGACTGAATAAATCCAGCTGCTATATTAACAGCCAATTATAACAGCAGAGATGGAGCAATAATTCATATTTAGACCGGAATGTCGGCAGCTTAGAAAAAAGGAATGTGTATATACTGAAATTATAAAAGAGTCAAATATGGAAGCCAGAAAACCAGGGCTGAGCACATACCCGGAGCCTTGTATAATGGCAGAAGGGGGAGCCACATTTCTAGCAGGATTAGCTGGTTACTGTCGATCAAATCCAAAACCTCAATCATTTTGTTTTAAATGACTCCATGTAACTCAGTTATACTAGAAAGAGATGAAAGATGTGGTTTGTGGAGGGAGCTGGTCCTACTTATAGTTAATGTAAAGATTGGAATTCAGGTTTGCAGTTGATTTGTGAGGAAGGGTGGCTTAGTGGTTAGGACACTCAGTCATAGGTGCCGAACACCCATGGAAAAAAATTAGTGAGTGCTTAGCATCCACTGGCAGCCAAGCTCCCCGCCCCCAGCACCCCTGCCGGTCAACTCCTCCCCGTCCCTCCTGTATGCCGCGGAACAGCTGTTCAGTGGTGTGCAGGAGCCACTGGGAGGGAGGAGGAGGAATGGGGATGGGGCGTACTTGGGGGAGGGAAGAGGTGGGGCAGGGGTGGGAAGAGGCGGGTTGGGGCCTTGGGGGTAGGGGTGGGGTGGGACCAGGGGCGGAACGGTGGCAGGAAGAGGCAGGTGGGGGTGGGGCTTTGGGGAAGGGGTGGAGTTGGGGCGAGCCTGAGGAGGGGGAGGGGTTAAGCACCCCCTCCGAATAGAGAGGAAGTTGGCGCCTATGCACTCAGTTAGGACATGAGAGATTTAAGTTCAGCTCCTGGCTCTGCCACTGACTCCTTGTGTGACCCTGGGCAAATCATTCAATCATAGTCTCTGTTTCCCGTCTGTAAGATGAGGATAGCAACACGTCCTTTATCTGTCTTGTCTATGTAGATTGCGAGCTCTTTGAGGCCAGGACAGCCTCTTACTAAGTGTATCTGCTGACAAGCACAATGGGGCCCGATATTGGTTAGGCCTCTATGCACAATAGTAATATAAATAATATCCCAGCTTGTGCAGTTCCGCACCAGAGGCACCTCAATGTTTGGAATCTCCGATCTCAGCAGGGAAACACTCATCAGAATCCCACCTCGGTAGAAGATCACTCCTAAGAAGTGTCATCTGGAATGGTTTCAGTTTGTCAGAGGGGTGGGGTGGGAATTAGGTGTGCTGGAACATGGGGACCAGGGGCCATGGCCCTCCACCTTTTTACTGGCTGTAAGGGTGGGAATAGGTGATACAGGGAATAGGCAGGAGTGTGGGGAACAGGACGGGGGGCTCGGGTAGAAGGTAGTGCGAAGGCAGGGCCTCGGTGTGAATGGGTGATGTGAGGGCGGGGGCTTGGGGGGAAAGGGTGGCACGGGGGGCAGGGCCACGGTTTGGGCACTGGTGGCCCCCCACTTTTAAGGCACTTCTGCTGCTCCTGGTGGGAATCAAAATCTGGTTTCAGAGATTGTTTCAGCCTTCACTACAGAAAATGTCTCCATTCCAATGCCTCTGTCAGTAATGATGAGGAGAAGACATGATCGCAGGGTTGTGTGGACTTTTCTTTTTCATCTATCTTTGGGGCAGCGTTAGGGTGACCAGACAGCAAATGTGAAAAATCAGGACAAGGGGTGGGGGGTAATAGGAGCCTGTATAAGAAAAAGACCCGAAAATCAGGACTGTCCCTATAAAATCGGGACATCTGGTCACCCTAGGCAGCGTCAAAGGCTGATTGCTTCTAGAGGGCACAGACAGTTCTCAAAACTTTAGACTCACGGAGATGAGCGGAATTAATTGCAGATTATGTTCCAGGGTAAAATATGAGCTCTGATGTTGTCTTATTTGCTCAATGTTCCCTTCTCTTAAGCCGATGACCCCTTGGTGGCTTTCCTTTCAGTCACAGCTCCGTTTTCTGTAGTCTCTCCCTTTATTCATTAGAAGGTCTGACACTGCAGCTCAAGACATTTATCAGCATGGTACAATTGTAATGAATCTCACGATAAAGCTGCTTGAGATGAATTCATACAGGGCCCACTGTACCAGCAATAGCACACAATGATAGGAGGGGTTATCCTGGAGACCTCTCACTAGGGCCTACACCACGGAACGTGGCGCACGGTTTGGCGTGAGTTCATACTGGGTAGTTGTGTGTCTTGGAGGCATTAACACAGAACAAGATGTGTTGCTGTAGCACATACCCATGTGTCTCCGGTTCACCAAATGGGATGCAAGCAGTACAGGGCCAGGTACACCTCTACCTCGATATAACGCTGTCCTCAGGAGCCAAAAAATCTTACCGCGTTATAGGTGAAACGGCGTTATATCGAACTTGCTTTGATCCACCGGAGTGCGCAGCCCCGCCCGCCCGGAGCACGGCTTTACCGCGTTATATCCGAATTCGTGTTATATCGGGTCGCGTTATATTGAGGTAGCGGTGTATGGGAAATAACCATACTCCCTAGGTCCTGCTGCTGCTGTCATTGGATGGCTGAATGGTGATCAGATACCACAGTGATGGGCAATTATACAAAAACCTACATAGGTAGCTAATTTCTGTTACATCTTTGCAACAATTTGCCAATGAGGCCACCCCACCTGGGTAGTTAACACAGGAGCTTGGAGCGGCAGCTTGGAGGCATGGATGAAGTCATAAACCTCTTTATGTTGTCTCGCCACTAGAGGGGGACAAAGAGACACTGTGGCAATGTGTCAATTGGCAACAGCATTGGGCTAGGATAGGAAAACCAGGAAGTGAAACTGTGTGTAAACAGAAAGCCCAAGCGGAGCGAAGTGCGGCGTATAAACAACCACCGGGATTGGTTGAAAATTATAGGAGGTTTTGAAATTCCTTCAGCTGCCCTAAGCTAAGGTGGTGTTGGAGCTGAAGTCCAGGGGGCCGAGGGCTAGAGGAATGATAGCTGCACATGGATGCACATGGAAGATAAAAGAGCTGGAGTTTCCAGAAGAAAAGATGGGCTTGTGGGCGACGCCTGGTGTGCGATTTATTGACCAAGGAAATATTCACCATGGAGTAGGCGTGGCAGAGAGGTCTGGAGACAAGAGAACAGGAGAGAGCTCTTAGAATGGAAGAACGGCCAAGTGGTTGTAGGCTGTTATCCTAGGACTGGGTGCGTGTCCCTGCTCCACCCCAGACTTCCTGTGTGCCCTTGGTCAAGGCACTTAGTCTTCCTGTGCTTTAGTTCCCATCAGTAAAATGGGGATAATAGGACGGCACCAGCTCACTAGGGTGTTGTGAGGATCAGATGCTGTGATAAAGGGGGGCCATGTAAGTCCCAGAGAGAGGTATCTAGAGAGCTACTTTCAGAGCCTGCGTTACCAGTTCAGGCCCCGCAGTTGCCCTCTGGGGCATAAGCCGAAGGTGTGTTGATCAGATGAATTAGCAATTTAGCAATGCGTTCTAGAGCCGTGCTTTGCAAACAGGCTGTCTGCTGTGCTGAGCCCGGGTCTGTCCAAACAGAACCGTGTAACTGAAGCAATAGGGGGCAGTATGTGTGGGGAGGGGTGGACGTGAGCCTGTGCGTGGGTGTTTGTTTCAGTGCTGTGTGTGTGTGTGTGTGAGCAGGGGAGAGGGAGGTATGGGGCTGAATTCCCCTGGTGTAACACCATTGATTGCAATAGGGTTGTGCCAGGTTGGAATTTGGACCAACGCGTGTTACAAACAGCTTTATTCAGAGGCCGCACTGCAGCATTCCCTGCGCGGCTGGCCTGGGTTGCTCTGCACAGGTTCCCTTCTGAGAGGCTTGGCTCCAGAAGATTGCTGCAGCAAGGAGCGTGAATGGCTTCACCGCCTGCGCTCCAGAAAGGAACTGAGAGCAGTGCAGCAAGACTGAAATGTTCTCTCCCTTCCTCCCGCAGCTGACCAGAGTGCCTGTGGAGTCGTGCGGGCAGTACAAGACCTGCAGCACGTGCCTGGGCTCCGGGGACCCCCACTGTGGCTGGTGTGTGCTTCACAACACGTAAGTACGGCCCGATGGCATTTCCCTCCATCCGGCCCTGCCTCCCTTGCCCCAGGGTGCTTTTCTCACTCTCTACCGGGGCACGCAGCAAAGCTGCAAATGGACAGGTCTGTCCCTGGTGGGGCACAAGACATCACTCGAAAATGCGATCCGAGCAGCTCTGTTGGGGCCTCGGAGACTGAGAGAGAGTGTCCTTGCTGAAGCAGTCGTCTTCCTTTCACTTCGAATGGTAAAGAAAATCACAGAGACAAGGCAGTCTGGGTTTCTCCCTTCTGAGTGCACATGTGAGTGGATAAGGAGGGACTCAGCAAGACCCTGATCCAGAGTCCATTGAAATCAATGGAAAGGCTCGTGTTTGCTCCACCTTGTTTTGAATCAGGTCCATTCACTCTTACAGTTTCTTTTTCGGGGACAAATCCATTCCCTTCTCCAAGGGATAGGGCAGCAGGACCAAGGCTGGGGCGAGACTCAGACACATGTCTCAAGTGCACTGTAGGACCTGACTCTCCACTGCTTACATTGCTTTGACCGCTGTTGATTTCAAGGGAGGTACTCCTGCTTTACACTATCATGAGAGGAGAATCAGGACCTCAGGATTCCATGGGCACAGGGGGCCAAATTCAGAGGTAATGTGTAAGGGGGAACTGCCCCCTTTCAGCTCAGTGGAGGGTTAACTCTGAAACCTAGTGACAACAATTTAAATGTCAGTCCAACTGTTTCAATGCTGATTGTTTTAAGCAGATCCATCTGGCTCTTCTGGGACAGTGGGCAAAGTCTGGGCAGATAATTTCCACCCTATATGGGTCCCAGTATCAGTGTCCAGGGAGGAGTCTGCTCATTAAAATGGCACTGCAGGGAAGGAGGCCATACTCTGAAATACAGCCTTGCCACGTGCCTCTAGAACGAATGCAGAACTTCAGCTGAGGTGGTCCCAGGCCCTGCTGACATTGCAGCACTTTGTATTGTTTTCCTTTGACCCTGAGGCTTCCTCTCACTAACCTCAACATCCACCCCCCGCCCCTTCTGCCCTGCAGAGAACCCTCTTCCAGTGCCAGAGAGAGCTGGGTCTCAGGTGTGTTGAGCTCAAGGCCGGGGCAGGCTGTGAATGGTGGGATAGCATCACGTGCCAACGGAGCCTGTGGCCTGATCTTCATGGCCATATATAGACCAGCAGAGTGCAGCTGGGGCGGCGGGGATAGTGCTGTTAATAGCCTACAGATGCTTTGCTTGAATCTCAATGGTCTTCAGCAGGGAAAGAGGCTCACTGCATGGTTATTCCTCGCCTGTATTCACAGCCCTGTCCTTCAAGAGTTATGGCAAGCTGCCATCCAACAGAGGACAACTTGGACATAGCAATGCCCTTTGGAGGCCAGCAGCGCCACTCCTACCTGTGGCTATCAGGGGTCGCTGGAGAGTGGAGTGAAATGAGCCCGCTGCTGGTAGCGCTAAGGAGGTTCATGTAAATCAGCCCCCAGGTGGTTCACACCCCATGAGCTGACCCCATCAACTCCTGGGGTGTGAAACCACCAAGGTTTGCTTGATTTCAGATCAGAGCCACGTGGCCTGACTAAATATGCCCAAAACGAGGAGTCAGGCCCCGCCTTTGCTTAGGCCCTGGGCTCCCTCAGTAGATCCTGGGCACACCTGGCCTGAGTTGAGCTTTGTAAACGTTACCCCAGCTATACCGAGCAAGCTGCATCCAGGGCCCTGCTAGTCCCTCTTGGTCTGAGAACGTGAGGCCAGCACTTGTATTCAACAGCCAGCTTTGGTGTATTCTCCCTCTGCTTTTCTTCTCCCGGGCCCACCACCATGATACCCGAGCAGACTGCTTTTTGCTATCAATGACCTAGCCAATGAAGGGGCCCACCTCTTCTGTATCAAGGACCTGCGTGGATTGCCATTATTGACTTGTTTAAGTAGCATCTTTCACTGGAATCAGTCAGCTTTATGTCAAATGACCCTCACGGGACAGAGGGATTGGCTGGCTTGGTAATGGGCTAAGGGGCCTCTCATCTCTACGTCATCAGCTCCATCCAGCCTGTCCCCGTAGTGACTGAATGCTGTTAGTGTCTGATCGGTGCTCGGTGGCTCTCGGTTCATTTCCTAGCAGGCGGGTGTCAACAGCCCAACAAACAGCCACCTTGTGCGCACTGATTGGTCTCTTCGGTGGGGGTCTCTGCAGAGCAGCCATGAACTGCGTGCCCAGCTCTAGAGATGGTTCCTCTGGGTTCAGGTTGAGGCATATTGGAGGCATCAGCATAGGGGAAGCGTATGGTGCCTCTGCCAGCCCTGCACCCTTTGTGTGGGCACAGGGGCGGGGTCAGGGCTGTCAAAGCACGCTGAACCCCCCCCGTGGGATCTGGCGCTGTGTGGCTGCTGATCACGTGCAGCGTATTCCGAGGGTGTGAGGAGTGACAGATCCTCCCTCCTACCCAAGTCTATAGGAACCTGAAGAACTCTTTGGTGTGACTCAGTCACCCATCACTGCTGAGAACCCCCCAGGCACCTCTCGGTCTAAACATGAGCCTCTACTACTGGAGCTGAAGGACTCATTCCTTTAGCGGAGAGCAGTAGCAGGCTGTTATCCTGTGTGGAGCGGGGGCACAGGTACGCTTGTCCAGTGCAGTGCATTAGTTTGATGATGATGGTGATAGTGATGTATGAAGCACACGGCCGCATCACCAAGGTGCCTGAGCTGTGGCACAATCATCATGAATACGTCACGTATCCCCTCCTCTCCAAACCAAGAACCAAACACGGCCCCCTCCGTACCGAGCGGGAATGGGGGGCCCTGCCCAGGGTCTAGCATTAAAAAGCAGCTCAGACAATCATTGGACGTGGGGCTCGGGGATGGGGATGCAGATAAGGCAGGGAGAGTATTTCCATTGTCTAGCTAAATCCCATTCATTTACCTGCGAGGCGAAGGTGGAGTCCCTGAACGGTGGGTGAAGTTAGAGCACAGACCCAGGTGTGACGTCATTTCTTCTGTTTGAGGAAGCAGGTAAATCTGGGTCTCCAGGTCTGGCCTGGAGAAGTAGGTGTCGTTGCTCCCCGACTGGCTCAGTGATTGGGATTCCAGATGCATAGAAGAGACCATCACACCACATTAGCTGCTGATTGAACCACGGCAATACCAGATATTTCATCTCAGGCTATTGCTGCAGCCACCCAGGGTCAGTGGCAGGGATCAAGCAATCAATGCACCTAGCAATGAATCCCCGGAGAGAGAAAAGGGGCAGAGACAACTGCAGATTGCACAGCAGCTGGGTGCAAGGGAGCTAAAGAAAATGCTGGCCAGCGTATAGGAGGGAAGGGAGAACTGGATTCAATAGCCTAGGAATCCCACATGCAAACCTTCCCCCCAACACGCTCCTTCTCCTCCCTAAGGAGGAAGGATGGCCTTGTAGTTAATACACCAGCCAGCACAGCAGGATTCCTGGGTTCTATTCCCAACTTTAGGACAGACCTGGGGGCTTACTGCTTAACCTCTGCTTCCTCCTCTGTAAATGGGGCTGCCCTTTATTTACATGCCTTACGGTAGGGCCACGAGGGCTAATTCGCCTTGGGTTTTGAGGTGCTCAGAAAGGAAAACATGTACATCCTCCCTCTAAATTCCTTTCCTTTGTCCTGCTTCCCAGGCGCGAGCTCCGTGCCAGTGCTCCCCACGGCCTCTCCTGTCCTTGGGGAAAGCTGCTGTGTGCCTAGAACCCAAGTCTTCCCTCGCTTCCCCCAGTGCCACGCCACTGACCTCGGGAAGTTATTGCTGGGGAAGGGAGAATCAGGCTCTACGGGTTTTATTAGGAAACCGTACAAGTCAATGACCACAACTCCCTAAGAAAAGACGACAGTGCTGTGGCCACTTCACCACTCTCTGCTCTTGCCTCGTTGTCCTGTTCCCGCCCCATTGCGTCCCGGATCTACTCTCCAAAGCGCCTGTAATACGTCTGATCTGGTGGGGCTGGGTGAGCAAGTTTGGCTCCAGTTAGAACCACCCGGCCTTGCAAAGGACACTTCGCCCTTAAACCAAACCTTGAGTGAACTAGGCACTTGGGGGGCTGAGAAGGTGCCAGGAATTCTTTGTTTTCTCTGTGATCTCTGTGGGGTTTTTTTTTATTTGCCTACCTCTGCCCCTCAAGCTGAGCTTGGAAGCAGAAGGGCCAAATCACATGAGCCAGGCTGTCCGGGCATTTCCAGCCAGGCAAGCAGCAGGCAGTGCCAGATATCCCTGTTCTCACATAACTTCCAGCTCCTGTTCTGCAGAGTTAAGCTGTCCAGCTGCCTCAGGATAGCAGCACCTGGGTGTTTGGGTCCTTATTGGCACTGGCCCTTGGAACGTTGTGAAGTGCATTAATCAGCCTTTCCTAGACTTGCTGTACAATCAAACCCCCACCCCTCCGCCCACGCGAGATCTCCAGGAAAACCTGTCAGAACCACTGCCCGTCACTAGTGTTAATACATCACCCTATGTCACCATTCAGTCAAGGGTCTCAAACGCTTCATAAGCAGGAAGGAGTCCAGCCTCCTTTGAGGTAAAATGATCCCTGTTTTACAGATGGGGAAACTGAGGCACAGAGCAGGGACGTGACTTGTCCAAGCTCTCGCTGAAAGAGTAGGAATGGAACTCACAGCTCCAGACAGCCAGGCATGTGCCTTAACTACAAGAGAATCCTTCCTCTCCAGTATCAATCAACTTTAATTAATGGCAGTGCAGGGTTATGCCGTGGGCATGCCGTAAATTGCTCACCTAACGGAGAAGGGTTGCCTGTCGGGTGTGCGTAGCTGTCTGTTTATTTCTAGAGTGCTTCTCACTGTTGGATCTGAGCATCAGTAACTGAGGTCCTCAGTGCATGCTGCTTCTAAGGTTACCCCACAGCCCCATCTATCAGTTCACTGGAAGCTCTGAGTCTCCCGCCGGTGAACTCTAGTGAATGCTTTAGCCCGGAGGGCTGGGAGCTGGGATGGTGTCTGGTGACTGCTTTGTGATCCAACTTTGCATTGCG